AATAGAGTAAAAGAGTTGAAGAGAAGTGCAAGTAATATATCTTATTGTGAAAAATTTAATCTGATATTGGACCATATTTTTAGATTTTACTATGAGTGAGCACAGGCAATTCTCTAAGAGGTTTGAAAATGGGTATGACATTCCGGATGAGAGGTATGAGTTATGGGTTCAGTTATATCGTCCTAATATGACATCTCAAGGTGGGTGTTGATGAATTCATATTATTATGTTGAACATAATGTATTTATTAATATTAAGATTCAAATGCTGAAGATGAAGACCAAGATTCCTTGAGTAATGGTATGTAACAGTAAATTAGTATTTCATTCATTGGTAATTGTAGACACTGATGAAGGAGAAGAGCTTTCAATGAGTGCTGCAAACAGTATGCATGAAACATAATATTATTCTATAATGCTTTATAATTGTGTAGGCATAGAGACACAGACACATACTGTCACAGCTAATAACAGTAAAGGCCTTTAAAATTAGCTGCAATACTTTTTATTATTAATGTAGGAGCAAAAAGAGTTGCACCTATCAAGGGAACCGCTGCTACTAAAGGTATTCGTATCATTATTAATTATTCTGATTTATTTTTAGAGACAGTTGATGCCTCTGTTACTTCTAATGCTAAGAAGGCTGTGAGGTCTAAAGGTATGTCTCAAATAATTTATGCTTGTCATTATTTTTTAATTAGAGACAGCAATCGCTGTACCTACTACTACGAGTGTTAGATATAAAGGTATTGTAATATTAATAGTTGTTAATGTAATGGTTCATGATAATAGAGAGAGTTTTACCTATTGAAGAAAGTGTTAGAGCTAAAGGTATTTATTAAGTTTTTTGTTTATTTTTATCTATGCAAGTATAGAGACAGTTGAACCCACTACAGATATTAGTACTGCAGCCAAAGAGAGCAATAGAGCTAAAGGTACTATTATGCAATTTTTGAACAAAGACAATTGTGCCTGCCTACGCAAGTGTTACAGGTTTTTAATTGTTATTATTGACTTATGTAGAAACAGAGAGAGTTATACGTACTGCTAAGGGGAGTAAGGGAAGTGTTAGAACTAAAGGTATTAATATACTAGCTTTTTATAAATGTTGATGTAATATAGAAACAACTGTAAGTCCTGCTAATGCAACTACTGCTAAGAAAAGTGCTAAAGGTGTCACATAATTCTTTTATTTTATTTTATTATTTTTAATATAGAATCAGCTGATTATCCTACTGCAAAGAAGAGTGTTCAAAGTATACAATAATTTATTTTGCTATTAATTTTATAGTTTATGCTTAGGTGCACATAGAGTTGATACAAGAAGGAGTGTCAGAACTAAACGTAGTAAAATTTTAATTATTATTATCTTTATTATTATTGATAATTACAGAAATGGAAAGAGTTGGACAATGTACAGTGAATAATGGTATTGCTAAAGGTATTTATTTTTAAT